AAAGTCGAAAATCGCAGTAAACTTGAAAAGATCTCATAAACTTCAAAACGACATCGTTTATCGAGATAGGTTATCACAGGTCGTGATATGATATTTCAATTAGTAAGCATTCACGAGGAACTTCGAGAACATTTCATTTCACAGATGACTTAATAAGACAGTGATAATTACTCGAAATAGAAGAATCTCGTATTCCACGGCGTTAGAAAGTCTCCTTACAATTAGATATGCGTATGATGCACATTAGGTGTACTTAAAGTGTTACTTTACAACTGGAGCAGAATTATTCGTACGGCCATCATTCGGAAACGCGACACACTAATTATATATTGATGAACTAGGTCACTTCATCGATTACATGTAATTTTAACGCGAACAGAGCAAATCAGAGGGTTATCAATTCGTGTCAATCACGAGTAAACAGATCATCGAAGAAAACGGCGGATAGACAGAAAATAGATTAACGTGTTTTTAATCGAAATTCCAAATATTCACGCGGAAACAAATGGCGAACTTTATGCGATCAAACTATTATTAATTTATAATTGTAATTACTGCGTGATTTACTCCACCGTAATAAGTATCTGGACAATTTTAAATTATTGCAATTACATATTAAATTTGCAGTTAATATTGTAAGACTCCACAAAGTAACTTTAAATATATCTATTCATTTTAGATTGAAATATATTTGGAGAAGATTGAGATGTAGATTTTATGAAGCATCAGCTATTTTTATTTTGTGAAATGAATATGAAACTTGAAAGTGTACGAGGTCAGCAGTAGAAAAATGTTTATCAATCGTAATTGTCAAAATGTGTTAAAAATATCAGTTTTTCAACGTAGTTGCACTAGAATTACTTATGTACTGTATATCCATATTTAAAATATTTCATTGATTCGGTATTTCATCGATATATTTATTATTACAAAAATACCGTATGAATTATTTATAAACGTAATTATTTTATACTGAAGTAAATAGCTAGAATTAGTTAACAATCTTTTTTCTCAAGCAACTAGAACGAAATTCTGATTTCACACGTATTTTCTACTTGGATGAATGTGTTCCCAGCTCTCCTCCGAAAGAGAGAGACTTTTTGTGTTCCTGTTAACAATGAAATCCTTATCGGCATCGATAATAACGAAGGTAGATCGCCTCGCGACAATTTTCCATCCCGTAAAAGTGTACACCGCGTCCGCGAGATAAGCGCGAAATTTCCAACCGCGACACCTAATTAACCGAAACACTGTCGAAAGTAGCAAGTTTAAATCTCGCACGTGTTCAGTCTCTGTCGAAATCTCCTAAACCGATTTTCCACGGAACTTTAAACAGAAACTCGATGGTCTTCTCTCTCTCTCTCTCTCTTTTCGCCCCTTTTTTTTCTCTCTCCAGTGGGAAAAGTTTCTTCCCTATCGAATAGAAAGCAGAAAGGGGAGAAAAGCAATTAGTCGAATCGCTTGAAATAACCAAAACCGTCGTTCGAACTACAAACGAGATTTCTAATGGAAAGAAAACTTTCTGGATATCG